CCGCCCGGCATCTCCTCTGGACCCGCAGCAAGGGCAAATCCGTCATCTTTGGTGGTAGATGGGGTGGCACTGCCCCAGACAGACCCTGTGCGCAATCTGGGGGTCCTCCCAGATTCATGACTCCTGCTCAAAGAGCAGGTAGCAACTGTGGCTAAGAGGTCTTTGAACAGCTTCATATGGTGCATCAGTTGTGCTCGTTCCTAGATTGGGGGGCTCTGCTCAGTCACTCATACCCTAGTCACCTCCTGTTCGGATTTCTGTAATGTGCTCTACATGGGACTGCCCTTGAAGAGTATCTAGAAGCTTCAGCTGGTGCAAAATTCAGTCGCACGGGCAATTATGTGTGCCCCTAGGGCGGTACACGTTACACGAGCTGCACTGGTTGCCGGTTTGCTTCTGGATCCAATTCAAGGTGCTGGTTTGACCTTTAAAGCCTTTGATGGCATGGGGCCAGGGTAGTTGATGGACCACCTCTCCCCAGCTACATCTGCCCACCCCATCAGGTCTGGAAGAGAAGGCATGCTGCAGGTCCCATCTGCCAGGGAATTCCACTTGGTGGGTCCCAGGAGGCGGGCCTTCTCTGCTGTGGCACCCACCTTGTGGAATCTTCTCCCCCAAGAAGTGAGATTAGCTCCATCCCTCTCAACATTTCGCAAGTCCCTCAAGACCTGGCTGTGTGATCAGGCCTGATCATTTGTTCCCCATCATCACAGATCAGTGACAAGCTACGGGAGACTGTTTTCATTGCCCTTAGCTGCTTCCTAGCATCAGTGGATGGGAAACAAATTAAGAAATAGATCTAACCCAATGGAAATTTACCTTAATTTTGGATCCAGCTGTAGTGGGCCGTCCCTTTTTGTCTGCATCAAGTTTTTCTGGGAAAAGCATCCGGATAAAAGAGCTAAGAAGGGGGAAAGAAAGTAAGAAAGAACTAGAATTTTGGAAAGGGACATGTAAAAAGTGCACCACTGATTCAGACTATGATTCTAACTAAGCTGGTATTCCCTTGCGCCTGTGGGGCACAAATGCAGCAATTCTGCCCTGCTTTATTCTCAGGCTGCCCCTGAATAAGTAAGTCTACTATTGATAGCTTTAGTTGCCATATATTTATCTAAGATCCTCTTAATAAGAGCAAAAGAGGGCCTTATTGCATTAGAACTCTTGCTGCTTTCTGAATGATGAAAGGGGATTGTGCGGCAAATTCCATCCTTTTGGGGCATACGTGTGGCATTGGCACACATATGCTACACATGGGTACACATTGATATGTACATGGAAAAAGAGGTGGGGGTTGCAATATTTATGTTTTTAAACACTGGTTGTGTTTTACTTTGTTTCTTTCTATTTGTTTTAATTGTTAGCTGTCCAGAGTCACGTATATGAGATGGGCAGCCATGTAAATTTACTGAATAAATAAATAAATAAATTGTGACACCCTAACACACTGCTTTCGTTAGTCTGACCACCACCACCTCCCCCTGCAAACACTGCTGTATCTGGCCCAGATCTGGGAATGTTATGCCTCTCTAGATCAATCTTCCCAAATTGGAACTACAATTCCCAGAATTCCAAGCTTGCATGTCCCATCCTGAGTTCTAACGCATCTCATGGCATCAGTTTAGGCAAGCCTACTTTAGGAATGGAGTAAAACTCTCATTCCTGACCCTTGGCCATGTTGGCTGATGGGAGTTGTAGTTCAAGAATACTTCAACCCCCTCAATTTTCCTTCATTATATGCTTTTTTTTTTTTTTTGGTAACAAGATGCCTCCATGAAGCTTATAAGCAAGTATGAAAGAAGACAGCTACAACCAAGTGGGGCTGGGGAGGAAAGCAGGGGAAACAGACTCACAATTCACTGGTTTGCATAAGTTCTATCAGGTCAGTGAAAAGCACGTCCCGATTTCTTTCACAAAAGCCGTTCACATCATAGGAGACCTGTGGTTAGGATAGGCCAAGAGTTAGCATTTTTGCCATCTGTAAATCCTATATGTCTGGTCAGCAGCATCTGTGATCTCTCGTTGCTTTCTTCAGAATGAATCTCTCCACTCCCAGTCTAGCACCTTCCCCACCATACTACACTGGCTTTTCATGTGTATGTGTGTGTTTGTAAGTAGTTCTCACTTAACAACCACTTGTTCAGCAATTGTTCAAAGTTACAATGGCTCTGAATGAGAAGACTTACAACAGGTCCTCATAGTTGTGGCCATTGTAGCATTCTGGTGGTCAGATGATTGTGATTTGTGCGCTTGGCAACCAGCTCGCAACTGCAGCGTCCCATGGTTACGTGATCACCATTTGCAACCTTCACTGCCAGCATCTGACAAGCAAAGTCAATGGGGAAGCCTGCAGGAGGTCGCAAATGGCAATCACGTGACATCATGCTTAACAACCATTTGGGATTCACTTAACAATGGCAACTGAAACTGTCACAACTGCTGTTGTAAGTCGGAGTGGTTACGTGGCATCGCGCTTTACGACCACATCACTTAGTAACTGAGTTGCCGATCCCAATTACCGTTGTAAAGTGAGGACTACCTGTACATATATACATACACACATATGTCAGTTTAAACATAATTTTAACTGGTCTGAAATCAGTTTACACACAAACACACCTACACAAATACACATACGTACAACCAACAGCACATCAGTACATCAAGGAGTTAGCACGTTCAGCCTAGAAACTGGAGAAGCCAAACTGAAAAGAATAAGGAAGGAGGGGGCAAGGAAGGAAAATGGGGAGCTCGGGAGACCTTGCCAGCATAGTGGTGGATGATGAATCCTGAACTGGAGCCGTTGAAATGTTCGTGGGTCCCCACTGCCGACTGGAGCTTCTGCAGCAAGGTCTGATCTGCCCCTTCACCCTTCGCGTACACGGTAGCACAAACATCATCCAAGACACTCATAATACCAGGAGGATTCTGGAAGGAGGTGAGAGAGACGAAGGGGGAAGGAGTGAAAATGTGGCCTCACCATCCTGTTCAAGAGGGTAGGGTTGCTTGAGCCCAAACAGGGCAAATTCAAATAGTTTTTAAATTGGTTGTAAAATGCATTGTTAATGAATGGGCAGAAATGGGCTTCTCTTTCACAACTCCGCTTGTAGACATTCGTTATTCATTTGCAGATAGAGATGGTCGTATTTTCCCTGGCTGATAGCAAAAGTCTTCAAAGTCTTCTCTTGGCAATTGTCTTTTATCTGTGTTTTGTATCATTCTAAAGCAGTGTTTCTCAACCTCGTCAACTTTAAGAGGTGTGGACTTCAACTCCCAGAATTCCCCAGCCAGCCTTGCTGGCTGGAGAATTCTGG